TAAATAAACGATGGCAGATTAATTCCCGAAGCGCTTTCTGAGTTTCCCGATCCCTCTCCTACTGCTTTCACGCTTACAAAACAGGAAAAAATCAAAAGGAGGAAGATACAGCTGTTTTGAAACGCCATTTGACGAGGGTAAATCTGCTTTTTGTTCGACACTTTACATATCAAAACAAAGGAAATTTGTTCCTCTTTTTGATTCTGGCGGTACATTTTTAATTTGCGCCTGCGTAAAAGAGATATCGCCCGAGACCCTTCGCTCGGTCGTGTTTTGATCAAAAACGCCTTGTTAATTTCACGCAACCGCTCGGAGAAAAGGTAAAAATGACGAGGGAAAAACTTTACCTTCAAGTTAGAAAATTAGCGAAATAGAAAGCCACAATATTATAGTTTAATATTTCAGAGGTACATTGAGTGCTTTTTCCGTAGAGAATCCGCACGATGGTAAAACATTCGAAAATTACACTCGATTTGAGTGGGGTGTTGAAGTGGGCGTGGTCACCACATTCATGTTAAGACTATTTGTACCCCATGAGTTTGATATGCATACTCCTAAAGTAGTGAAGTAGAATGATCTAGCAGCGGAAGGGTAGGAAGAGAAGGAAATTTGTATTAAGGGGGTGAGCAATGGTCAAAAGGAAGGAGATTGGGTGAAACAATATAGAGAGTTGATGTTTACAGTTGGTGCCACAGTCTTACTAACTTCTACTTTTCCTCTTGGACTTAGACAGTGTTTTATCCTGCTATACTTAAAGGCTTCCTTGGTATTCGTGCTCATGTCTGGACGAAAGACCACCGATTACCAAAAGGTAAGACAAGTTTTCAATAGAGTGCAATTATTATTACCGTGAAATAGCTAGCTAACTTCCAAGAATTCAACGAAAACGCTATCGTGACATGCAGTCAAAGATAATTAAGCTTTGGGATCGTTTTGATAATGACGAAATCGATTCGTATAGATAACTAAAGAAATGTTTAATTTTGACAGTGCCTCCGGTTTAACTGTTACTAGATAGCAAATGAATGTATCATTAATTGTTGCAATTAAAATTCCATAATTGACATTACTTGAACTTTATATATTTAGACAAAATAGGTCTTTAGTACTTTTTAATAAAAAGTGAAACAGTTTGCAGGTTTTTACTTTGACTTCAGAGGAGGGAGGACTGGTGACAATTACTTTCAAAATCAACATGGCGTCGTTAGTGTGGGTCGTATGTTTGTAGTGGATGATGTACTGTCAAAACTGAAAAGTTTTTCGTTTAACAAAGGAAAAGTAATAGAAGTAATCGTTCGAATGGGGAGTTCTTTACATTTTCATAGAGAGAAAGATTTGTTCCTCTCTTCAAGAATAGTGATCGTGTTCACAAGCGTTTCCATCTAGTCGGAGTTGTTACATAAAGAAATATCTAAGCTCTCGCCGTTGGATCTTATTGAAAGTGACATGTGACGGTGAAATATCTTATCAGTATAAATTAGAATGCCTTTTACATTGAGGTTTCTCACTAATAATTACTGTGCGAAATAACTATTAAGAATTGTGCGAACGGTCCAAAACTTGTGGGAAAAGACTTGTGCGAAAAGTCTTTGATGCGAAATGTCCTATATTCGTTTCATATTAAAGCTAACCTCTTTTCTCACTGGAACTGGCAAGTGTAAAAGTTTGCTCAGATCGATACAAATTCCCTAGAAAATACTAGCCCAGTTCAAAAAAAGCTTCTTTCAACCTGTTCTACCTGTTCATCTTACTTCACTAGTTTTCTCAAGTCAAATCTAATGTTTAATGCCTGCATTGTGCCTATTTCTTTCTATATGACATTTGCTGTTTTTTTTGTTTTTTTTTCTGCATGGATAAGTTGTTTTGCCTATGAAAAGTAGGGAAATTTCCTTGCTTTTTGTAAACCGTCCTTGGTTATTTCTCTCTGCAAAACTAAACTTGATCTAAATCTTTGAAGATTTTTCTTTTTAGGACCGCTAGGGTCGGTTGTTTATGCCAAAATTACGATTACTGTAATCATACCTGTCAACTAGTTTGAGTAAGCAGAATACCACTTATAAATTAACTGAAACTGATATTAAATCGTTTTCATTCGGCGCCTTTGTTCAGGTTATCCTGTTATGGAGGTTGTGATATCTTCCCTATAATAAAAAGGAAGGCTAAACATTTCTCTATCAGAGTAAAAAGGATAACGAGGAGAATTTATGTGCTTGAAGCAGTGAGATAAATGTTGAGAGCCAAAATGTTTCCTTTGGGGACATTTTTCAGATTGAATTCCTTGTTACATTTGGGACACTTAGCACCTGACAAATTGCCAGTGAACTTCTTGACCGGTGAATCTTGCTGGCATCTGGGACAATTCACGGTGTAATCATCTCGCTGAAGACTCGGCAAAGTTTCCATCAGCCATTTGGCACGCTTGGATCCAAGTTCCTTGAAAGAGGTTTTTTCTTTTTCGTTCAGATCTTCTACTTCCCAGTGAACATCATAAAACTTAAATCCAAGAACGTCTGCGTTCTGCACTTTAAAAAAGCCGTTGTCTGCCCAGTCGGATCCCTTGGAATTCAACAGTCGCAAATATTCACTGTTGAAACTGGTTAAAACCACTGCATGGCCAAACCCTTTGGGATTTTCAGGACGGGCTGTTATATCGATCACCCTTTTTGTCAAAATACCTTTTCCGTTAGTTTCGAAGAACTTATAAAACCTACCCCACTCATTGAGGGTAAGCCCAAATGTTGCAACCACCGGTCGGCTTGAAGCGACTGCTTCTATGGCACCCTTGAGGTCAACTTGCTTGTAACGCAAACGGTACTTGTTGCACATTTTTTCGAGCACTGTTTTGATAACGGCAGCTTCTTTTCCAAAATGGCCGATCATTTCATTTTTCAATTCTTCGAAATCTGGGATTTTGCCCTGGCGGCCATGAATTCGCTTCATAGTCAAATGAAGCACTGTAGCTGATGCATGTGCAAAGCAGGTCTGTCCTTCTTGCTTTGCTTGTGCTTCATAATCTCTTACTGACTGGTTTATGTACACATCGAGGTCAACGTCTGCAAGCAAATCGGATAACGCCTCCTGAGAACAGACGACCTTTCGAGCAAGGTCGCAAGCTTCTCGCAGGTGGTCGGGATGATTAACCTGCAGGAACAAACGTGTTTCATTGTTCTTAACCTCAATGGACCAATCACGTTTAACAAACATGGTGCGTGGTATCGACTGCGTGGTTGCGATTGAGCTCAGTGAGAACAGGAACTTTGCACCTTGGTCCCAGTCTGTCTTCATCTCACTGTACAGTTGTCTGGGCTGAATCACTGTGGATTTAGTGACAAAGCAGCCAACTACGGTCACACCTGCGTTCTCTAATCTTGTGGCCGCTTTCTTTATTCTCGCCGAATCATTATCTTCTCCATCTGTGGGAACTCCGTCTGATAAGACAAACAGTAGCTTTTTGTGACTTTGAAACGTAGACGCGTTTTTTTCAAAACACTCAGTCGCCCTACCGACTGCTTGATGCATGGGAGCGTCGCCATAGATGTAGGGCTCTACTCTCTGTAATAATTCTCGGCTCCTTTCTTTAGAGAGTTCTCCTTCATCGATGTATCCATGTAATACATCTGAAGCTTCTTTAACATTGAAGATGCGAGGTTTGAAACTGACCAACAACGGTTGGGCCTTTGTCAGTGCTCCTTGGATGTCTTCCTCTGTAGCTTCTCGTATGGATGACCACACACTTGCACACGCGTGTTCGGCTCCGGTTAAAAGCTGTGCCTCTAAGGCTCCTCCAGGAAAAACTCGGCATTTTGGTGGTAGACACGTTTGGACAAATGTTTTTGGAAAAACTTCGTCCGACTCAGCTTTTTCCAGAAACAAGCAAGCCTTGTGTTGTGTAAATACTCCTTGGACGACCTCCCTCCTTGCCCATTTGCGGATGTATTTTGCACCGGCTCCTTCCAGTATTCGGTAAATCTTCTCTATCTGATCATCTGTGGCTTTCTGATCACATTTGGAAGACTGAAGACACGTTAAGATGTCTAATAACTGGTCGCCACCTCTAGCTCCAAAGGCCAAAGCAAATACAGAGTTATCAGGAGAAACGTCGTGTTTGATCAGGTTGTCAATAACTTCAAATATCGAAAGAGCCCACGGTCCTCCATCTTCATCAACACCGCTTCCCACGTTATCACGCATGGAATGGGAGACGTCGAGAAGGATTCCAATCAATGCTTTGGCCATGCTTCCTCGGTCTAAATTTATACAAGAATCGGATTTTTAAGGAAAAGTGAAATTTAAAAGAGCGTGATAAATGAACTAGAATACCAAGTTCCTGCCTTATCATACTTATACCTTATTCGTTCTTAATTTCGCGGGTCTTAAATCTCTTTTTTTTCGCGATTGTAAAACAAATGCGAGATTTAAGACCCGCGAATAAAAATGCTCTCGAAATTTCAGTAACTGCCAAACTTTAATCCACGATAGAAAACTCAAATCACAGGAAAAAATGATTAACATGTAATAATATCAACATACCTGTATACGGAATATGTATCGAGAGATAAACAAATTATCAACTGGTCTAACTGGTAAATTCTATCTTGAATCTTCTGTTCTGAAATAACGATGATTTGCAAAGATTTCACCTGTGGAGTAGAGAATCTAGAATGAATCGCCAGATTTGTACAAACTCCTTAGATGGTCTTTCATGCAGTCGTCAAAAGTTCAGAATTTTTTAAAATTAAAATGAAGTGCGAAAGAAATGAATCGCAAATTTTAATGCCCTCTTTTCATATTTACACATTTAAGTCGCGAAAATAAAACCTCGGAAATACTGTCTCGCCAAAATCGCGAAATTAAGCGCCAATAACGTACTCGTTTCTACTCACCAGGATTTAGAGGAAGATTCTGCACGGTGCATTTACCATTGGGAAGCGAAACAATGGGGAAATTGGAAACCGAAAACACTCTCCCCATTTTTCCACTGCCATTAAAATCAAAGATGGCGGCCATAATTTTCTTTAAGAAAATACTGAGCATTCGCTCGCGAAAATTACGCCTGCTCTGTAGACTGACGATCATACAGCCTTGAAAACAATAGGGTAAGCTTAGACTTGTCAGCGGGGAACCCCCTACTTCGTTTCCGAGAATTTAGTCGCACAATAATACTTCCTGTTTTTCTGAGAATTCACACAATGGAAAGCGAGCAAAATTTAAAAAGAAAATATTTCTTTAATTTAAAAGCATATCAGTATCCACCAAGTGGACAAGATATATGTCACGACATGATTCCATATAATTATGAAACATATAGTAATCAAAAATTATTTTCATCACATGGTACGTAGTATAGAGTTGGTTTTCTTGCGAGACAAGTTTCGCAAGTTTCGACAAGTTTCGAGACTGGTCTCGCACCGCTAATTCTCATAGTACTCGAAACCATAGGACCAGGGAGAACCGAACACACTTTCATCATGCCTCATCCAGGGTTCAAAATAATTTTCAGCTTTTAGCGTGAATTTGTAGGTTTTTGTCAAAGCTTTTTTTTTCCCAGCTGCCAATAATAAATTTCAGCATCAGAATCTTTATTTTGATCAACATGCTTTGTTGCGGCAACCCTTTTCTAACAAAGCGTAGTGAATGGCTCAATTTTTCAGTTTTCGGTCAAGAGTGAGATATATAACTTAGTCTAGACAAATTGCCGCGCTTCTCCATTCACAGCCAAATTTCGAAACTTTATACTCGCTTACGTTTCCGAAAAGCCTTTAAAACATTTGTTGGCTGCTTTATCGCCCGATATGAAATGTTCACCACACCATGGCAGCGACTTTAACTTCAGTTGGGCGATAAATAAGCATAGTATTTTCTATAAAATACTAGTTCTTCGGTGAAATATCGCTGGCAAGTGTGCAAAAAGTTCCGGCTGCCCTGATATTAGATTGTGTAAAAGCTAAAAACATACCTAGACGTTAATGGAGATCGTTACAGAATCTTTTCTTTCCTGAGCAGCGTTAAGGGATTGTTCGAAGCAATCAAACACTGTCGTGGCCACCGGGACTGAAAAGTAAACTCTTTGTAACTGTCTGACAGATGATTGGTGAATGAATCTGACAGGTATCTAACACTTGTCATGGAGAGTTTCCTATTTGGCTTAACTTACTCTTGAAATAACATTCATGAAGGAGGTAGCATCCGAAGACTGTTGTATGACAGCGAGACAAGCTGAATAGCTGGAGATGAAGAGACGGGTTTAATGTACTGCCTCGCCTGAAATTATTTTCCAAGTGTTTATATTTTCATGGTTTCACGTGGCCCGAACACGTAGACAGACTGGGTCGAGTGCCCAATGAGCGCGACTCGTGCTCAGGGTTTTTCCTTCAATGAAATTCATGATAGAGGACAAGTAGGAAAGATTGCGAGGAAAGCATTTGACTCTATTGGCCTCGTCTCTCTCTTACATGTACTGGACAATATCTTTAATACATTTTTCCATTTATATGTTAACTCATTTGTGTATGAACTCTTTTGTGATGTCTTATTAAAGATTGTCCAAGTTAAATATTTTAAGGAGTCAGTTCGAGCATACGCTATCTGTGCATTTCGTTTGATTTTAAACGAGAAGCTCGGAACTTCAAAAAACTGCAACACAAATATCTGGGATATTGTGCCAGATATCGTAATGGTTTTGTAACTAGGCGAGGTTTTTACACTCCTAAAACCTGTAAAGATTGAATTTAGAAAACTCCTTTGATATATATATATATTTTTTAATTTAAGGTATGGAGCTGCAGCCGGTGTTGCTCAACTCCTCACCTGCAATGCATTCAAAGGGGGGCAAGGAATGGACCGAGCTGCTTATACTCAGTTGACCTCAGATGATACTTTAAATCCTGCTGAGTTGCCGTAGTTTTGGTATGTATAACGGACTTGCTTACAATAATGGACTTCTGAACTTTTACTCTGCATGAGGCCTGAAAAATAAGTTGGTTCCATTTTGTCACATTTATTTTTTTCGGTCTTTTTATCTTTTTAAATTATTAATTAATAACCAGCTGGTTTTGTTTCAATAATTTAGCCCCAAATGCACCGGTGAATTTAAGCAGTCTGAATGTCCCACAAAATATTATTGCTTTTGTGAAAAGCAGGTATGGTAGCTATGATTAAATTAGAACATTCTTGAATTTGACAAGAGTTTTTCCTCTGTTTATTCCACATAATTTCTATCAAGTTTTTTGAGGTTGAGTTCTGTATTTTCTCCATTAAATGCCACACTAATGGCCTCCATCAGGTGGAGAGGATAGAGACAATTTTTTGCCATACAGTGTGGCTCCTTTAAATAAGTACTATTTTCAATAAAAAGAATGCTTCATTTATGGGAAGATTATAATTTGGAAAAAAAAATAACAAGACTGTACAGCTACAATTCAAGGATTACCTTGAATTGTAGCTGTACTATTTATATCAACATAGTGATTACTGGAACTTATAACATATTAATTACTGTCTAGGACATAATTTGTGGTTATTATTAATTAATATATATTTACCATGGCCAATTCAAGAAAGGCAATGCTGAAGCATTGATCAGCTTTTAAGTAGTTGTAGAAAAGTGTGAAGTGAAGGGAGGACATCCTCAGATTTTTAAGGAAAAATAAATGAGAATTTAGTGTTATGTCAATTATGATACCCTCCAGCTGATAAGTTTGTCATTTCTCCTCATGTGCTCTTTGTATGATACAGGCCCGTGTCCTCCTTGTCCAAAGACTGTCTTTGCATCCTGTCACTGTGGATCTCAGGCACCAGTGGTTAGATGTTGCAGTGCTAAATCTTGGTCGTGTGGAAAGCCTTGTGGAAAGTTATTTTCTTGTGGCCAGCACAGCTGTGAGTCTTCATCCCATGCTGGTAAGAAAACAGTTTGTTACCCTAGTACATAGCATGCTCTCTTCTTTATTCTGTAAATTTGGAACTGTGAAGTTACAGAATTGATTTCAATTGACTATAAACCTGTTGTAACTTGCTGTTACAAGTTTTTCCTCCTCACATTGTAGGTGACTGACCACCAGTCTAAATATACTGAACTTTGCAGGTTAGGATGCTGCTCTTAATATGTATACTTTCTGATAACTTCTTACTGAGGTTGTTGTTTTCATTAATGTTTATCAGATAATTTGTGCCCAAACTGATTTTGTCAGATTTTGTCCATGAATGAAAATATAAAAATCTGAGTTAAATGGAAACCCAAATGTATTTGCATGTTTTGATGGTTACTACCAGTATCAGAGGACTACCTACTTTTAGTCAAAATATATTATTAATAGTCAATTACATACATTGCCTGTCATTGTGTGACCTTAGGAAAGTCAGTGCCCTTAAATTCCCATATGTTTCTAGTCACCAGAGACATCTTCAAACTGCTACGATTTCTCCCCTCTCTTTGAATTGCGATTTAACATTGGGATGAAATATTTCTCACTATATTGTAACAGAAAATTATATCTCTTACAGTCATCCTCAGTTCTTCTGCATGGCTTAAAGCAAATGAAAGGACTACTGTGTAGGCTATAATCAAGTGATAATTTGAAATTTTTTCAGTATGTTTTTCTTTGTCATTATGACTTATCAACTTGAGTTTATATTGTTGTTGCCATTTTTAGGAGTTGCTTTGGAAAGCATGAGGTGTGTTTTCTTACATTTCCATTTAGATGTTTTGATGTTCTTAAAATTAATGAATTAAGCAACTTCTGAATTATACAGCTCGTATTTTCACAGCCTCCACCTAATTGTCCCTGTCAAGTTTGTTTCCTTTGACTTGTAATAAACTTCTTAAAAGTTTCTGTATCATTTAGTTTCTGTATCATTTATTTAACCTGTCTTAATTTTTCCCACCCAGATCAACTCTCTTGCTTGTTCTTCTGCAAAAGCCATTTTCATGTGCTCAACCTTGTGGCTGTCAGCTTCTTTGTGGAAACCACTGCTGTCAACTGAAATATCATGTTGTCACTGATGTGGTTGATAATCAGCAGGTAAACTTGTACTCAGATATTTTCAACAATGTGTCTCCCTTGGTTCAAGCTGGTCATGGTTTCATGGGAACAGAAACTGTGAAGTGATGACATGGCAATCTAGGTGAGCCTGAACCCCAGGATAACTATATGGTAGGTAAAGGTGAAGTCTGTACTTGAGTCAAGCAATCCATCATGCCAGATCTTATCCAGGTTTCAATAGCATGAAGCAACTAGGATGGAAGGAGCAGTACTACTCCCTCCCTGAATGGGATGCCAGTCCATTTCAAGGTATCCCCCCCCCCCCCACAATTCGCCGGTATCAGTTATTACTCCCGACTGGAGAGAGGCACTGAGAGGAAAGTGCTTTGCCTACAAACACAACACAATGACCCAATCGGGTTCGGAACCCTGACATCTTGACATGATAACCAGTGCAGTTACCATTAGACATTGTGTCTCCCACAATAACTATAATTTACCATCTTATTATTAACCCAGGAGGAACTGGAGTGGTTTGAGAGGAAACAGCGAGGGAAGAAACAGCATCCAAGGAAGCAAAAGGAAGAAATAATTGAACAATCATGATTCCAGCGTCACTAGTTTACTGTTGTCATGTTTCTGGGGGTAGTAGCATTGATGGCTGGACTCCTTCTTACTGCCATGGTCTAATTAAATTTAACTTGGATGGTGTACTATATCATAAGCCTGAGATTTTAAATAAGATAAAAATAATAATAATTCAGTTAAACTATTCTTTCTTGGAACAATTTTTGAACACTTTATTACAAAAAAGTACATAGTATTATTTTTAATATCAAATAAATAGTGTACCATATAAAGTATTTACAAAGATAATGTATTTACATTTGTTCCATTTGAGGTGTTTCTTGAAAAGAATAAATTGATTTTAAAGAGAAACTGTAGAGACTTGTATGATTGCACTTATGTTGACCTTACTTCCAACTTGTAAATTCAGATCTACTAGGTCCTCTGACATTATTAAAAAACCTACCCACTCAATATACATATTCATTTGAACCAAATTGTGATTTGGCAATGCTAACAGCACGTGATTTCTTTCTACCATCTTGTGTTGTTTCCTCTGAGTCAGTTTTGTTGGGTTCTTGGTGTTCAGCTACCACTTCAAGAAATTCGGGTACTCTAGTGTTCTTTTTGTCTATAAAATCTTTGAATGCTTTAGCTCCATGCATGGTGGAAAGCACATTATCCTGTGGAGTTAGATAGAAGTTCATTTAACACACTTGTGTAGGTGCTTACTCTTTCCCAGTGTATCTCTTTCACATACTTCTACGGTAATGAAGGAGAGAGAATGACCTAGCAGTGGAAGGGTGGGGAAAGAAGGAAACTTGTACCAAGGGGGTAAGCAATGGTCAAAAGGAAGGAGATTGGGTGAAGCAATATAGAGAGTTAATGTTGTTTTGTTGTGTTGGTGTTTATAGATGACACCACAGTCTTACCAACTTCTGGCTTTTCTTCTTGGACTCAGACAGTGTTTTGTCCTGCTGTGCTTTTGGATCTTGTAATGGTTCGCCACTGACACGAGCTTTCCATGTTGAGGGGCTCAGGTACCATGCTCCATATTTAACCTTCACCCAGCTTGGAGTGTACTTGGTTTTGGCCTATAAACAAATTTCACGCAGCACCTCATCAATGATATTCTTCCTTTCAAAAACTTTCATATAAGAAGTTCGTGTGTTTTAAAACTCAATGTGAAGCTTAGAAAAATCATGAACACTTTGATTTGAATTTTAAATATCACCAGCTGTACTAATAAATCAATCACAACTAGGAAAACTGGAATACTTCAACACAATTAAGGAAAGGATAAAAAAAATTGAAGGAAGGGAAAAGTTTTTTAGTTCCACAGAAGGAACACATACATCTCTTTCATTACATTTGCTGCCACAATTGGCTTGAGCGGTCTTGCACTTTACCTTTTCCTTTTCAGTTTCTGGCACTTGTCTTGTTTCACTTGGCTTTGGTAATGGAGATCCAGTGTTCATTCTTAACTCAGGTGGAACATTTGTCAGTTCAACAACATGGATAGGCACTGACAGTGCTGGCTGCAAACAAGATAATTGATGAGAATTTAATGGGAAAAAAAAAATTCTGTTCTGAATACAATAAACCCTGGTCTACACTGGCTTAATTAGATTTAAAGTTGAAAAGTATTGTGACTGGAAAACATCGTTTATCATATCACTGACTCTTGCTAGGAAGGATTGAAATAGACACTAACCTTTGTTTCATATCCACTGGCAAATAAACTCATCACTGTTGACTCTTCTATATTGTTGCTTTGACCACCCTTAAAAATTATGAAAAAGAAAGAAAATTGAGGTGTTCAAAGTCCAGAACATCTAAATTAAAATTATTTATTAAAATAAAACTCACCAAGCCAGCCACCCATTCACAAAATTCCTTTGTTACTTCTTGTATCCTTGCATCCTGAAAAAGAAAGTACATGCAGTCTTGAGTCCTCTCATATACTGCAGTCCTATATGCACTTATTTCATTGATTCAGAGAGCAGTGAGTTTAAAAAGTGATCCTGGATAATTGCTTTGGTTTCGCTTTACTTTGGTCTGTGGTTTGATCGGGAAACTTCAACCAACCAAATGCAAAACTGAAACCAACCCCAACATGGTCACTTGCATTTTCTTGCACTTGAAACAGATTGCCTGTGTTAACTTTGAGATCTCATTGGTTGATAATGATGTTAACTTTTGGTCTGATTTGTTGTTGTGATTACTTTTTTTGTTTTTTTCCTGGTTTGGATTTTTCAACAGTAAGGTGAAAACTGCACTAAAAGATGTTATGACTTAACCAGCAAAACAGTTTTTGAATATCAAAATATTTACCGATGTTGGAGACTCTGCCTTGCGCCTACTGGCTCTTTTGCTCTCTTCTTTTTGTACATCTTCTTGTTTAGGGAGCCATTTGTATGTGAGTTTGGACTGATCCTTCTCAGACTCAGAGTTGCTGTAAATATGTCAAACAAACTTATGTCAAGATATCAATTAAAAATTGCAATGAGTACATTATTAGAAAAAACTGTGTTGTTGTACAAAAGCCTCACCTTACTTTCCCAGACCCTCCACTCTTCACAGACTGAAAAAGAAAAAGAAATGCTAAACATGAAAATTAGAAGGACTTGTTTCATGACTGCCCTCCATGTTTCAGCACTTCCTTCTCCCAAATATTTTTTAAAATGCAAATGATCTATTAGGTATTACAGTCAGCACAAATTCAGGAGACGTGTAGTAATAGTAGTAGTAGTGTCTTTCTGTTGCAGGTTTCCCTGACTAGAAGAAGGTCTTGGAGGCTGCCTTCCTTTGAGAAGCGGACTTCACTCAGGGCCACTATTTTTAACATTTAGTCTGGACATTTTTTGGGAGGTGGAGAGAAGATTCTTAATACTACTCAGTCAGATGCGACCCACTGACTGAACAGTGTTAAGAACCTAATTCCCAGTTTAGATCTCATCTGTCATTTTTCAAAATGTTCGCCAAAGAAAATTTTAGCCTGCATTTTTCATGTAACTTTTTACCTGCAGTTCATCTTGATCTCCAGCTCCTTTGGCTTCCTCAGAATCCTCATCACTTTCCTGTGAAAAGGAAACATTTGAATCTTGACAATCTTTCTGAGTTTTTGGTTTTGTAAGAATAATAATTTTAAGTTGTTATAAAGTTATGAAAGAGATTAATGTGCAAACTGTATCTTTACCTGCATCTCTTCATCTCCAGTTTCACTGTCAATGTTCATCTCTGGATCTAGAATCTCAACAACATCTTCAAACACCTAGATCACCACAGAGAGCAATAGGTGAAGAGTTATATCATAGAATTTGGTGCTATCGAGTTTTACATCATCTTCGCACCCCACCAAGTTAATTACAACATTTAACAGATTATCTTCAACCTAGATTATCCTGACCTCGATTATCAAGATTTTGTCAGTTATCTAGACTTGCTTCTCTGGTCCCAATTATCTAGTACAAAAGTTTATATTTATTTCTCTAGTTCTTTACCGAGCTTAAAACTTACCATCTCTCTTATTCTGATTACAAAACATGACGCTATAGACATTGCTGATCCTAGCAGTTTGCAGGATCAGCAATATATAATTATGAACTTCATATATGGCCTTGCTCACCACAGAGGCCCCGTGGCTCAGTGGTAGAGCATCTGAGTGTGGAATCCAAAGGTTTGAGGTTTGATTCCTCACAGGGACTCAGAATTTTTTCTTTGTCCCTCACTCATGATGAGACAGAAAACATCTTAGTTTCTCCATTTGTATTCATATTTTCAATTATCCAGAATCTCAACTATTAAGCCCAGTCTTGGTCCACAAGTCTGGATAATTGAGGTTCAACTGTGTTAGTCTTGACTTCCAGAAAAGCCATACAAATGCAGTGGTTCCAAATTTCTCATTCTTTGAACTTTTGCAGTTCTCTAAGCTGCAACCACCTTGGTCACCATGGTCAGTAAGAAAACATTTCAGCTACTAAACTTACAGTAAGAAATACATTTTGGCAACCCGAGTTTGACAGTAATGTAGCAAGTTTATGATGTTATGTCTCCATTGGCAACAAAACAATCAGCACTTGTAACCCTTTAAGCAGCAATGAGTATCATTAATTATGCAACATTTAAGTTAAACAAACTTACATCAGGAGGTAAAGACTCTTCTAAATGAGGAAAAAGAGCCAAAGGATGCTGTGTCAAGTTAAACTCGATGTCCTCCACCCTACCTCTTCTTTGTTGTTGAAGGGGAAGTGACCTGACAGATACCATAAAGAACAAACTTTGGCAAAATTTTTCCCACATGATTCAAATGGATCAGAAAGTTTGGCTAAACTAGATTATGTAAGGTAATTTAGTGTTAACAACTGGGTTGAAAACGTAAATTAGCCACCATAAAGGATAAAAAAGCTGACGTTTCGAGCGTTAGCCCTTCATCAATTGCTCTGACGAAGGGCTAACGCTCGAAACATCAGCTTTTTTACCCTTCACGGTGGCTAATTTACGTTTTCAACCCAGTTGTTAACACTAAATTACCTGCTATACTCTCCCACCGACGCAGCACCACAGTTTCTTTAGAAACTTACCCCTTTATAGATTATGTAAGGTCTTACCCAGTTTGCAGATACAGTGGTGTCAGCAGCCACTAATTCTTACCTATTTAAAGTTAGTCAATTATTTTCTCTAATAAAACTTGTACTGCACCAGCACAGATTACATCAAGGGATGCAAGGAAACAAAGGTGAAATGTGTAACAACTTGTAAAAACCGTCAATTGATAAACATACTATATACCTTGAAAAACAGGCTTCATTCTTTGTAAATCTCACTCTGTCCTTCATATATTCATTTATTGTTTCATCAGATCCAGTTATGTTTGGTCCTAACCCAGTATTAGTCTGAAAGAAAAGACATGTAAGAAAAGTGGAATTACTTTTTTCCAAGGCTGTTTTATATATCACCAAATTGACCCTTTCTATCTTTGACTCCCATCACCTCAATATCAGTTCTCTTCACTGTCTGCTTAACTTTTCTCACAATTTAAGCTCTGAGAATTGGTATCAATTAAAGCAAATAATAACCCTAATAGTTGATAATGTTCTCTTTTTTTTCATCACCTTTCTGCTCCATTATGAACTGTTTTTGTAAAGAGAAATTTAATGTTGATCACTCCAAATAAATTATCCTCATACAATGTTAAATTTCAAAGGAAAATAATTCCTGTCACAAAACAGAAAACAACTACATGTGCACATCTAGAAATAACTATCATACAAAGCAAACATTTCTGAGGAGTTACCTTAAATTATCCATCATCACTCAATAAAAGAGATTGTTAACCCTTCACACTCTAGCATCAGTATGAATATTCTCTATACTGTTCTTTGTACATTTCCTGACAAGGATAATTTGTTCAACAACGTAGATCGAGTTTCTTTAACTGCTGATCATTTCCTTCATTCTGGTGATCTTAATGTTTGATTCAGGGTAGATATTGTGAGGAGAAATTAGATGCTGGTCACTCTTAGGGGTCCAAGGTTTAATGCCCTACAAGCAGTTTTCTATTACTTATCACTAAATAATTAATAACTTATAATCCGATGATAATTCGTTACTAGTACGTCTACGCACTCAGTCTCACCTTCTTAATATAATTATAATTAGCTTCAGGGGGAAGACCATCCCTAAAGTCATCGCTTCCCTTCTCTAAAAACGTCCAAGACGTGCCGATCAGCGTTTCTGAATTTCCTCTGAGCTTTCTTGGCTTTATATACTTTGTCTCTAATCTTTCTTTATACCTGTGTGTAATAAAATTACAGATAGTTTAATCAATTCGATTGGTACAACAAAGTCATCCATGTATATCATTGAAGACACAAAAAGAAAAGATTTAACTTTCAATCTAACTATTTCTTTTATCAAGCAGTACAGAGCAAAGCATATTTCTCCACAAATTCTCCGTGATTTGTTCGCCATAACAGCAACAAAGCTGATCTGATGGAATAAATATGGCTTTCTCAGTGAATGATTCCTCACTTAATATGCCATTAACTTCATTTTCAACAGCCTCTTATACTTTTTATTGCATTTGGACAGTATAAAGGCTTACTTACCATGGTTTAAGTCTCTTTTTCCCGTCTGTTTTGGTTTCTACTAATAGGAGGTCATACTTGTGCGCCATATTGGAACACAATGAAAAGATTACGTTTCCGTGGTTACTTAGGTAGTCGGACTTAGTCTCCCTAGCGAACGCTGAGGGCTCTGGGAAATTAGAACGTTACAACGTCGAAGTACTGGAGCTTCGAAACATCACAGAACGATCTAATGAAAACTCAATTTTTTTTAAGATAAAAAAGATTCTCTTTTAATTTACTTCTGATTGAACTCGTGACATTGCGGAATTTTCTACATATTTTCGATTTATTAACAGCATGTTCTTTGGCTTATCCTTTTTTGCTTCTAAGCTCAATCAAATCTTCATCAAAGGGGTCGACGCAGCCTGTCATTCCCATACGAATCATTATTTATTGATAAATATGATTTGAAAAGTTTTTTTCTATTTGCCTTACAATGAAAATAATTCCAATTAAACTACTGGTACTCAAGAAGCAAAATATACGGCTTTGAACAACAACGGCTCGTTACGAATTCTTCGTTTTCAGCAAAATTCAGGGCTCGATCACGGCCTTGTAAGGTTAAACTTGTATCCTGGGGTTTGTTTTCGTCTTTAGTACACACCGTCTCGCTTTATATGGTGGCCTTGCAAAATTTTGAAATAATCTATCGACTGCAGTTTAAAGAATGCTTTTTTAGTCTGTCTGTAATTGATTGAGTAATTCTACCCCGAAGTTCAAATAAAATGCTTTTTTGTCTTAAGGTTAGAAAACGAGTATCATATTTGCTTTTCATGTCAACAGTTATTAATGGAGCGACCATGAAAACTAAATAAAGTCAGTGATAAGATGAAAATGAAATGTCCATAAAACTGCGTGAGAAGCACGTTCAACGCTGGTAAAACGGCAGGTATTGGAACACCTATTTGCTCAATCACTAGCATAACCGGATCTCTCCGCCGCGGGTGACCCATGAAATCTCCTTTCCGGAATCAAAGGATGTTAATGAAAAAGCTACAGATATAAATATTCATCAGCTTTTTGTGCGGTACTGATATTTTTTTCATTTACGTCAAAAAGAAAATGGTTAACAAAATCACCCTAAAAGAAAGGTCAAATCTTTTTTACTCTGAGCGTAAACTAAACTGAGAAAAGAAAAAACATTAAAACTTCTTATTTTCGCGTGAAATCACAGCCGACATTGTTGAGAGCATGATCTGTTATTTGTGACTTTTTATATTGTATATTTTGGCATAATAAGCATAACAGAATAATAAAACGGGTATTTCTAAGTTGTTTTGGGATTGCGATGAGAGAGTTCTCTTGTCTATTCAATCGTTTATTTTCTTTCATTTCATGATTGCGCAAATTTTTACCACGCACAGAAAGATGATTCTGTCGAATTGCCTCATAGCGTTTCTTCGCCTCAAAGAAGATTTAACTTAAGTTGGGCGATGGAGTAAATTTTGTCCTTTCCATTGTTAAGAAGTCGAGCGACGGGAATAAAACCTGCTAGATCAGCGTTTTGGTTCTTTCGACCAATTTAGTGGGTGTGAATATCATCAGGTTTCAAAAGCCGCTCGGAAATAATAATTTTAAGTGTGAGGGAACATCCTTCATAATCTGTGAAATATCGCCAGTTAAGGAAAATGAATTCGGCCAGTTAGTTATAGGATCATCTAAGGGCAACGCATTGCATACTCATAAAACGCCCTAAAATTATTAAAACAGAGACGAGTCGAAAACTAACGACACATTCTGTTTATCTACGAATAAAATTTTTGTCGTGTTTTGGAAGGATTTACAAATTGGTGTTTTAAAGCGGCCTTGCACCTGTCATTTTTATTGACGCTTTTTAGGAGTGCCCAAAAGCTATTAATTGAACTGTCGAATTAAATTGTCTCCAGTCTAATGGAATATTCCTCTATCGCCAATCTCTTACCATATTTGTATTTGACACCAACCTTCATTAAACTCTGATCTCTGCATGAGCAAGGCAATTAACATTTTGGGGAAAAAACATCCTCGGGTGACAGGTAATTTAAGATATTTTCGTTTGCGCGAGAGGTTGGGCAATTTAATTTTAGATTAAATTCAATGATACTAATGTTCCATGTTCCGTGGGGTCAGAATCCTGATCTAACGACAATACAATAAAAACTTGTGGTAGATTCATAAAGATTGATAATAAAGCTTTACCAAGAGAAATTCTGTTAAAAAGGTCCGCTCTTTAATTGTATGCTTAAATTAAACCACCGGCCCGTCAAATTTGACAGTCAATAGAGACTTGCCAATCACTCACTCATCGCTTTCAATTAAGGAAAATTTTAGGGGATTTGTTGTCGATACGGAACGGTGAAAATCGCTTCCTGTATTCGACTGGACTCTAAATCGATTGGATTGCCTTGGAGGATGTTTAGTTTTGCTACGAAAAATTCCATGATTGCTTCCAAGATGCATGACTTCCACATGCTCGTCGCATTTTTCGGATACATCATTGTTTTTTCCCAGTTTGGTTGTACTACGGTTATTGGTGGGTCGCAAAATCTCTGCCCAAACATCACAAAGTGCTCATGCTCGTACACACATCGTACAGTTAGTGGGAAACCGCCATCGACATATGTGAACGCAATATGCAGTTTTAGAGAAGGCAGCAAGTTGACGGACATTCCCCAAAAACTACCACCAAAACTTGGAAAATTTATGATGGATTCCCAAAATGTTGGTGTACTAAAACATGCCTCGTTGAGAAATTATCCATTCTTGTATGAGCTAAACCTGAAGGACAATAACATTAGATCCATTGAGCCGGGATCTTTCCATCGTCAGAAGGATCTTGAACTACTGTGGCTTCAAGATAACAAACTCTTTAACATAAGTCGTGAAACTTTTGAGGGATTGAAAACCCTGAACAAACTTCGTTTGGATCATAACAAGCTACAGAGGATTTTCCGGGGAACATTTTCATACACACCACTCTTGAGGAATCTTGATCTTCGGAATAACACAATAAGTGTGCTTGAAGAAGGTGCATTTGACGAATTGGATTATTTAGAAAATATTTCGTTAAGTTTCAACTCTCTGACAACTATTAACAAAGGTGTTTTTGGAAATTTAATGTCCTTAAAGATTCTGGAGCTGGCTTCGAATGGATTAAAGACAATTGATGGAAATGCTTTCGATTGCGCTCCGGTAGTCAATAAACTAGTGTTGAATGGAAACAAGCTCGATAAAATTCCCGCGAAAGTTATAGCGAACCTTAAGTTTCTAGAGTTTCTTTATGTCAACAACAATCCACTAGAGTTAATAGAAGCAGATGCTTTCAAAGGGCTACGACGCCTAACCACAATTGAATTAAGTCACTGCAAAATTTCTTCGATTCAAAATGGGTCTTTTGATGACCTCGGACACCTTGAAGCGGTCCATCTACGTAATAACCCTTTAAACTGCAATTGTCACTTGAGATGGCTTCCGACATGGTTGTCAAGGAGACCAGGATTGACATTTGATGGCGCCATTTGTCACGAGCCAAATGACATTTCCGGAACTGGTTTGACCTCGGCAAACCTTACATCCTTTGTTTGCTCATGCGCAGCGTGTAAAATGGATGCAAATTGCAGCGGGGAACCAGTCAATTGTTCCTGCCCAGACAACTGGGCGGGGTCATCCTGTAGTGATACCTGTCAGTCAGACAGCGGGGCTGTCGGTACGTGTCAAAACTTTTGCGGGAAATGCTTTTGCGGAAGAAACATAACTACCAAGCCGTTGTCAAGAGCCATTTGTTCATTCAACATAACCTCAACAAAGTGCAGCGAAGATGGCGGATTAAAAAAAAATGGGTCTCGTTTAGAGTGTAAATGTAACAAAGGATTTGAAGGGAATGGAAGTCACTGCACTGACATAAATGAGTGTAACACGGGGAAACATGTCTGTCTAAAACATTCAGTATGCATCAATACGCAAGGATCACACCGCTGTGAATGCCAGGAGGGGTTTACAGAGGAAGTTAAGGGACTGTGCATGGACGTAAATGAATGTTTGAGGCAAAAACCATGTCATGTCAACGCTACATGCTACAACAGTCTAGGTATGTGGTCAATTTAGTGGATAACTTCATTTTACCATTCAAGTCACTAGCTGATTGAGTGAAGTGAATGAGTCAAAATGACGTCCGTACTTGCTTGTTACAAGTAATCCAGGATTGCCCTAAGTTTTTTTTTCACTTCATTCTGTGATTGGCCTAGAAGACTTGCGCCAAGTTTTCAACCAATCAGGCACAAAAATAACTAATAACTAATTCCGAATTGGTTGCTGGCTTTTTTCCCGCGCTTAGTTCAGTTTTCTTTACGTTGGGTTCTCATTGGCTCCCTGTGACATTTTCTTAATTCTGATTGCCCTTCTGATTGGCTGACGTGAAAGCCTTGGCTAAGGTTTTAGGACACTGGATCGACAAATGCTTTTATTGTTGAAAGATCAAGCGGGCTGATAAACGCTGATTGACCCATGAACCAAACTGTTCCTTGACCGAGTGATATAATCCGAAATTCGATTTCTTCCGAAACTGTGATGCCTAACTAAAGTCCTCGATGTCTAAAAGCCAGGAACTGAAGCAGCTCTTATTACGCCGGATTCCAAGCATCAAATCTTCATTAACACGAACGAAAACTATTTCAGTGATTATTTATTCCTAAAGGCCTAAAACTCCGACGGGAGTCGTTTAAGATGAGAAAATTAAAAGTTTTCCCTAAGTTGCCGCTCAAAAAGGAATTAATCATGATTATTACCGGTTTAAAAACTCAGCTCGACAACGTAGGAGCACAGTGACTGCAAATGAATACAATTTTATGATCAGATAAGGAAAATGCAATTCTTATTAAAATGTAAATCACTCTATTACGATTGTTACCTTGCAAACATCTCCTTCATCGAAAGGTGCTAAATACATAAATGTCACTATTTTTTATTTGAAGGAATTGACAGCTATGAACACATACAGTTTTGCCCGAAGTGCGAAGAAATATGCGCCGGAATATTGTTCTTGATATTTACGTTTGCGTTTCTCGTTTCA